ACATCTCTCTTTTCCTTCTCCACAAAAGAGAAAGCATGCAAGCATTCTAAATTTTGGACAGATTTCTTGGATGTTGAAAATTACAATGCTGCAAAGAACATATACATTTTAGCACTCATATAATTAACTTTCTTTGCTCTCTTCTTAATTGAAAGGCAGAGCTCCCGCCATTTCATTAAAAAAAATAACACGCAAATCAATTCTTTGCTTGATCAAGATCCCAATTTCAGTAATGCACATTAACATACCAGAATGAAAAAATAAGCACAAAAGTTCTAAACTGTACAATTTGGCTAAATTTCTTAATTCAGTCCAGTTCACCTTTTCACAGCGAGCACAACTATGAGTAGTAGCGGTTCCTCCCCCACATCTTTATTTGTATAGAGTGAGGGAGGTGCAACAAGCAGGCTCTGGGCTCTAGTTTGAAGCTGACTCGCTTCAGCTTCAGCTCCCACTTCCACTACCGGGGACAACATCTGTTCCAACTAGAACCAATAGACATGTCATGACACACCAGACCACAAAATTCAGCGCTAACCATAAACCTTCACTCTTTATACAATTTGGCAATGGATACAATCTACTTATGCTTCTTTTGGCATTCGTAATACAAAACTAGAAAGTAAGAAGAACTTAGTAACATAAACTCAGTTAACAAGTTGCATTAAAATGACTACTACCAAACATAAAATCCAGCGACATCTCCTAGCCTCAGACCACCATGAGTACAAAATTGTAGCAAATAAAACAGAAGTGACTATAAGGACACAGATAATTATGTGCTGATGTGGTGTTGCTGATTTACCTAGCTAGCTAGAGAATGACAACATTTATTCCTTTGGAACAATTCTCTGAAAATTCTGAAATCGCAACGGCCGATGCAGTCCCAATTTGCAGCACCAACTGAGTAACTGATTCTCAAATTCTCATGGAACAGACGACACAGTTGAAAAAAGCAGATTAGCATGAACCTTCACCAAGACATGGAGAGGGAGCAGATGAGAACGGCTATCCTGAACCAAGAACAGATCTTCAGACAACAAGTACTAAAAAGTCGAGCATTTCATTTGCTTGTGGTCTGCACAATATGCTGAATTCTCTCTGCATCTCAACTCGACGAGGTTAGCACAATTTCTCACCACTCTATTAGTTCCTACCGAATCATTCAATCAGATACAGGAGCTGCAGCGGCTGTACCATGTCCAGAAGCAGCTGATGCAGCAGGCACAGACGACTGCTCCGGCGAGCCATGCTCTGTTGGCAGTCGTCGACATCAAGCCAAGACCACAACAACTGGACATCTGATGCAGCGAGAAGGCGGCAACAAATCCTCAGCAACAGATCATCAGCTTCACAGCTTCACCGCTGCAAAAAGGCCGCAGCACCTGGACCAGCGTGTGCACTCGCTGATGATTGCAACCTTGAACTGACACTGGCAAACGGACCAAAGCGTCTTTGCAGCCGCGAAGAAGCGACGGCACCCACGGCATGCGCAGGCGTCGTCGATGCGGACGAAGGTGCCGCGGCGTCTACATCGGCGCCTGTCCTCCCGTATCCCGCCACCACCTCCGTATAGGCGGGCGGCCGGGCAGTATGGGCCCCGGCATGGACCGGCACGAACGGGATCGTCGACTCCCCTCTGATGCCCCCGCTCGCACGCTCACTCCCCACATCATCCCCGCAGGCCGCAGCAGCACGTGCTCCGCTCCCCATGTCGGCACGACCGAGCTCCGAGTAGAGTCCCCTACCCCATCGATCCCCGCCGCCTGGCTACATCCCAAAATCCCCACCCAAATCTCCACCCCTTTGCCCTCGTCACATTACAGATCCACGAAATCTACTCCACATTACCAAAAGTGATCGAGTACACACCTTCGGCAGTAGTCCGCAATGAGGAAGCGCGAGTTCGCCAGAGCAATCGCCGCAGCACCAATGAAACCGCCAGTCGCTGCCGTCGGGGAATGAGAGAACTGCGAGGTCGCCGTCGATGGGGAACAAGAGCACCGCGAGGTTGTCGCCGACGGGAAACGAGACACAAGGAAGACAAGATGGAATGAAATGAGAAAAAGGGGAAACGGACGCTACAACGCGACTCCCCCAAACTCAAACAGTAGCGCCGACGCGCGGACCCCATAGGCAGATAAACGAGAGCGCCGGAGACAGTTCAGGCGGCAGACCGAGCAAAATCGGACGGTAGACGCAGCGACACGTGCCAAATCCAATGGACAGAAAATTCACGTGTCAACAAACCATAAAACACACGTGTCCTATAGCATTTCTGTAATAGTAAGGCGCCGACTTAATTTGTATATCTGTCCTGTGGTGCCCTGCGTGGTGCGTATTATTTTCTCTCACCGTAAATATATATTTTAGTAGCAAATATGTCCTTGCATTTATAATGGGATGTACAATTGTATGGTGCTCATGCCAATAAGGCAATAATAAACAGCCTACTTCTTGTCAAATCAAAAAAAAAACAGCCTACTTTTGTTAGATTTAATTGGGCTTCGTCTAACCTTATTTTAATTAAATAAAAAATCAAGAAAAATATGATTTAATTAAGGTTGGCCTAACCTTATCTTGATCTGACATATTTACCTCCCCTAATATTAGAAATAACGATAAGTCCCCTAAGGGCTTGTTTGGCTATTCGTATTCACCTCAATTCACATGTGTTAGAGTGGATTAGGGTGGAAATTAGTTAATTTTCCACCCCAATCTAACATAATACATGTGGTTTGGGGTGGATGCGAGTGTAGTCAAACAAGGCCTAATGGACATCTAAATTAAACAATTATTACATTAAGGAAAAAGATAAACTCAAAGTACCCACTATGTTGGTTTCTATTTCGTGGGTTCTGACTATTCATGAGAAACAAACTAAGTCGACCATTATTAAAAATAACAAAAAAAGCTTCTGGATTTACTGATATTTGATATTATATAAAACAATAACCCAGAGTACCCTCTACATGTGCTTCTAGATTATAGTAGGTTTTGCAAGTTTTCATATAGGGAAACAAAATTTCATATCTTGGGTACTACAATGCAAGCTAGAGTGTGCCTATCTGTGCTATTGAAATTACAAAGAAAACAATATATGATCTAGAATCCATGCCATCTTAATATTAGTAATTGGAGGCATCTAAGAGAGCCTCTATGTTAATCCTCACAAGATGCTAAGGAAAAACAACTAGGATTCTCACAAAAATGAAAACCATCTCGCCTTTAATATAGTAGTCTCCGATCATCATCACCTATAACAGTTACCGGATCTATTCTATTTTTCTAAAATATTACCCATCTTTTGCTATTACGAAAAATACATAATCTAACATCCTGAATTTGAATCTAAATTACCCACCTATAGCATTATAATAGATAATGCAAAGTAACCGCCTAAATTTCATTTTAAATTACACACAGCTACCATTATGAAAGATAATATAAAATAACCCGTTTAATTTGTATCCAAATTATCCATCTCTACTGTTATAAAATTTTAAACTAAAATATCCCTCAATTTTTTGTCTAGATACTAATATATAACCTATTATGGAAAAAATTCAATAAACATAAAGTATGACATATATGGTTCTAAATTACACATTTCTTCTACTCTTAAATTAAAATTAAGCATAAATGCTATGTGCCAACATTTTTTAAGGGCTGCAATACAGGCTCAAACGAGTGTTTATGACATTGCAGCAACCAAGAGTGTAGTTAGAACATAAAATCTAAGAAAATACAAAAGGGAAATTCTAAATAAAAATGCAGTAAGCACTAGAGTTTTGGGTTAACATATGGATAAAAAATAATTGCAGACAACTAATAAGATCAAAAGTTAAAAGCTAAAATATAGATTCATCATGTCATAGAAAATAATGCAACATGAACTAATATAACTTAATGCATATGAAAACCCCATATAGGTGCAATTCAAAGTATGACAATATGTATCCTAATATTACTAACTTGAGGATCTAAACATATTAATTCTTACAAGATGCATTAGCAAAAGAATAAATCCTACAAATCATCATAGAGAACAATAATTACAGGCTATATTCTATTTTCTAAAAATGAACCGCTTTTGGCATTTAAAAAAAGGAATAAATAACCCCCTAAATCTACATCTAAACTACTAACCTTTACCATCTTGAATGATATTTTAATTAATATGTTCCCTAAATTTTCTTTTAGATCACCTGACTCTACCATTATGGAAGATAGCACAAAGTAACCCCTTTAATTGCATCTAATTTTTTTGTATTTGCCTCTATCAAATAGAAACTAAAACATCCCTCGAATCTAAATTTAAATTACCGGTATAAGCTATTATGAGAAAGAATTAAATAACCATAAACTATACTATAAATATGGTTCTAATTACTTGGGTTCTACTACTGTTAAATTCAAAGTAGACATAGATGCCATGTGTCACCATTTATACCAAGTATACATGGATACATTAGTGATAAATATATATTTTTGTAGTTTATCGATCATGAAAATGAAATGTTCCCTTAACAAACCACATATAAATGACACCGATAATTCATTTTAAATTATATTGAAACTCTATGGCACTTAATTTTATAAGTTGCTAGTTTTTAAAAGGACATGTTACTTTATATAAGTTTATACCTTTCGACAAAATCCTTATGACATATTGTGCAGGTAGTTTCATTTGAAGCACTCTATTTTTTATAAAACAATACCTATATATTTTAAAATACTACACATATAATTTTATATCAACTCCCGCAACTTTTTAAAACACTTATATATTTTAAAAAATTGCTAGCATATACAGGAGCAGGAGCAGGAGTCGAACCGACTAGTTAGATTTAATTTATTCGTTATATTCGATCAAACGTTTACTAACAAGTAGTAGCATTCTTATATTTGGTATATTTTAGACGACGGCGCATCAAACAGCTACGGCCGCCGTTAATTCGACAGGAGCTGCCATAACCACACCCTCCGATGGAGCAACCATGATGAATTCATCATCAGGAGCTCCCACGACTCCACCACCATCAGTGTCACTGGCAATCCACCAACGTCTCCTGGGCGCAGCCGTGTGCGGCAACTCCGCGGAAATGAAGCACATGGCCCTGCAGACCCCGGGGGTGCTGCTGGGAACAACCCCTCAGGGGAACACCTGCCTCCACATCGCCTGCATCCATGGCCACGAGAGGTTCTGCAGGGACGTCCTGGCGCTGACGACCAACCAGCAGTCTCCGTCCCCGGCGGCACCTCTTCTCGGCGCCGTCAACGCGGACGGCGAGACGCCGCTGCTCACCGCCGTGGCCAGCGGCCACGTCTCCCTGGCCTCGTTCATCCTCGGGCGCTGCCGTGACGAGCAGCTGAGCGAGGCGATCCTGGCGCAGGACAAGCGCGGGTTCAACGCGCTGCACCACGCCATCCGCAGCGGGCACCGGAAGCTCGCCCTCCAGCTGATCGACGCGGAGCCCGGCCTGTCCAAAGCTGTGAACATGTACGACGAGTCGCCCATGTTCATCGCAGTCGCCCATGTTCATCGCGGTGATGAGGAACTACGCGGAGGTGTCCGAGAAACTGCTGGAGATCCCTGATTCTGCTCACGGGGGAGCGTATGGCTACAATGCTCTGCATGCTGCCGTCAGAAGTGGCAATCCAGGTATGTATGTCTTCTCTTCTTTTTATAAAAGCAGAATGTATGATGATGCCATGCATGGCTGTTAACCATGCATGTCCTGCCACGTACGATTTGGTTTCTCAGTTGTCGCGAAAAGGATCATGGAGACACGTCCCGGGCTGGCCAGAGAAGAAGACGAGCACATGGTGACTCCAATGCACATGGCTGTACAGTGGGACAAGATTGACGTGCTAAGAGTGCTGCTGGAGCATGATTGGTCCCTAGGGTACGTACTCACCTCGAATGGTAACCCTATTCTTGATTCAGTTGCACGTCAGGGATACGTCGGGGCTGCCCGAGAGCTTCTCATGCATTGCCCAGATGCTCCCTACGCCCGTGCAGATGGCAAAACGACATGCCTTCACCAAGCCGTTCAGGGTGGTCACATGGAGCTTCTGCAATTCTTCCTGGGGTCAAAGCATCTTCGGAAGCTAGTCAACATGCGAGACTACGGGAAAGAGACTCCTCTATACGACGCGGTCCGAGAGTGCAATCCCAAGATAGTCAAAGCTTTGCTGCAACACCCGGACACCGACGTCACAGTGCTCAACATCTCGGGTAACCCGGCTACCTGGGTACTATCTCCTTTGACTGACCACGCCAAGACTTTAAACTGGGTACGCTTAATTATTTTCTCTTGGACTTGCATTGTTTTTTCCGGTCCCCTTGACTAGTCCGACCCCTTGACGACGTATATATTCGTTACCTACAAATACAATACAATAATATCAGCCTAAATATATGTTTTAAGTTCTCATCATATTATAAATCTATGTTTTTGATTTTTTCAAATGATCTCGAATGGATACATGACCTATATCAAAGTAGTAGTGCTCAATGTGATCGATCTAAAACTTTCTAATTGATTTGTTTTCGTTTGAGATAGTTTAGGTCGCCAAATATTTTATAAAAAGATTCATAGAAGTTGATACAAGGGATGTCATGGTATATTCACTCATAGGTGACTGTGAGCGAGGTAAGATGACACAAGTTCAAGTCCTAGAAAATGCATGCACGTCTATTTCTTAGTGGTAGGAAACCCGCCTCTAGAAATGCTTGATAGCGGTATACTAAGTAGTGGGTGCTAGTCTATGATTGTGGGTTGAAAGACAACAACACTATGGGGCAGAGCAGTCTGATTTTCTTTCCTTTTTTTTGTAATTTTTAACAATTTGCAAGATACAGGGTGTTTATATCTGATGAGTATATTTGGACACTTATGGACTTATACAACTACGAATGATTAAACGTTTACATATATTGCATAGCAGTCTGGAAACTTATCCTGTGCACATTAATAAACGATCCATACAAACTTTTTAGAGGGGAAAAAAACAAATGACCATGTTCAAATCAACAACCACTGCAAGATATGCACCATTAAATTGTTGAAATCAATGACAGATAGGTAAGCAACTAAAGATATATGGTTGTCAAAAAGAATAAGTACTCTGTAGCCTTCTATTTTAAACAAGAGGATACTATTAAAACATTGTAACAGAAATATATCAGCACCTGAGAAAAACAGTTTGCTACCACTAACTAGCGGACACAATGGTAGAATATTGTCTTTTTTGAGTATTGTGCTGATGTGTGCTCCACACATACCTTTCTTTGAGACCTTGCAGAATGAAGTCTCCATGCTTATGCTGAAAGCTGATCCAGAAGCAGCAAATGATACTTATAACCTTCATAAGCAAACCAAGGATCGAGTAACTTCTGAATCAAGGAAGGATATAAAGACATTGACTCAGGCATATACAAGCAACACTTCTTTAGTGGCAATCCTCATTGCAACAATCACCTTTGCTGCTGCTTTCACCTTGCCTGGAGGATATAGCAATGGTGCTGGAAGTGCGGGGCTACCCATCATGGCAAGAAAGATTGCATTCCAGGCATTCTTGATCTCTGATTCCTTGGCAATCTTCTCCTCTCTGGCTGCTGCCTTCATATCAACAATGTCAAGATGGGAGGACTTTGAGTTTTTGCTTCATTACAAATCCTTGACTAAGAAACTTATGTGGGTTGGCTACATAGCAACCACCACAGCCTTTGCAACTGGTCTATACACAGTTTTAGCCCCTCGCCTCCTATGGTTGGCTATAACAATTTGCCTTATGTCGGTTCTACTGCCCGTTCTTACCAAGCTACTAGGTGAATGGCCTGTCTTCAAGCTTAGAATTCATCTGGGCAAAACATTCAAGTCAGAGCTCCTTGATATGGTCTGATTTCATGAACTCATCTTATTTCTTCGAACTACTCTCTGTTTTACTATATTTAAAAAAATACTATGTATGCTTCATGTTGTTTGAATAAATTAAATGTCATTGTGATTTTGAATGACATGTAAACACTAAACTTTGTATTTTGATGTTTGCATACAAGGTAACCAGTGTAGCTCTGGCCCTTTATCTGCAATGGATGTGCATAATAATTTTTTTCTATGTTGGTTCTACTACCCATTCTTACAAACCTACATGCAGTGGCAGACACAAACAAAAAATCAAGGGAAGAGGGATTAATTATCTTCAACCTCTAGCAGGGAGCAACGTCTTTAATCTCTTCTTCCTCTCTTCTACTCCTAAAAATCGATTGGTGGGGGCAAAGGGGTGGGGTGCGCATCTTCAAACTCTAGCAGGGCACAACGTCTTTAATCTCTTCTTCCTGTTTCCCACTATTCCTAAAAATTTATTGGGATCACAAGGGGCTGCAAGGCCAACCGATGAATGGTAGGGTGGGCTTGAGCCCCACTGATGGCCCCTTATCCTGCATGCAGTAGCAGGGGCAATGTTTTGGGGAAGATGAAAAGGGGCGCTCGATTGTCGGAACCTCAGATACGTGTGAAATGTATGTCTAGCTTCATAGCCATCATAAGGTGCATGCAAAATGGGGACATCATGCTTTTTTGGCGAACCAGATCACCATCTTCGTTAGGATATATGGAACAAATTTAAAGCGGAGAGTTCTAGGACTTGCAGTTATAGAGCGGGCTAGGAAAAAGCAAGCTTCACGGATCATGAACCTCAAGCTGAGAGACACACATTCAAAATTCTTCCACCGTAGGATCAACGACCGTAGAAGAAAGAACCATATCCAACGGTTGAAAAAGGGTCAAGGATGGGCTTTCAAACACACGAGGACAAAGAAAAAGTAATTCGTGATCACTTTGCCGCTGTAATGGGGCGCCCCATAGAAAGCACACTAGATCTCAATTGGGACAACCTTGACCAGCCTGCGCTCGACCTTCACTCGCTCGACGATCCTTTCTTAGAGGACGAAATCAAAACTGCCATTTTCCAAATGCCAGCTGACAAAGCGCTAGGCCCGGACGGCTATACAGGTGCTTTTTTCAGAGCATGCTGGGATGTGATAAAAGCCGATTTTATGGAGGCGGTGATTGCTTTCCACAATCTACGGATCTCGAGCCTACCACTTCTAAACTTGGCCAACATTGTGCTAATACCAATGAAAGAGGGTGTTGATTATGTGACAGACTATAGGCGGCCCATAAGCCTCATTCACTCATTTGCCAAAATCATTGCCAAAGCTCTGGCCCTAAGACTTGCTCCGTACATGAAGACCATAGTGCCGCCTACACAGAGTGCATTTATTAAAAACAAAAGCATCCATGACAATTTCATGGCTGTGTGAAACACAGCCAGAAGCTTCCATAGAAACAACATCCCTGCCCTCTTCATTAAACTGGACATCACTAAAGCGTTCGACTCAGTGAGATGGGACTATTTGCGAACGCTTCTCCAATGATTAGGCTTCCCTCCAAGATGGCGGGACTGGATTGCCTCACTCCTTTCCACCTCCACCTCACGGGTTTTGCTCAACAAAGTCCCCAGCACCCCTCTGAAGCACGGTAGAGGCCTACAGCAAGGCGACCCCCTCTCACCGCTCTTATATGTTATCGCCATTGACCCGCTGCGACGCCTCCTGGACTTAGCAACAGAGAGCCATTCTAAGAAAGTTAAGTGGGACACACACACAACATTAGAACCTCTATGTATGCAGATGATACAACCCTCTTCATCAATCCTCGAAAGAAAGTCATCTCCACCTTGGCAAATATTCTTACTTGATTCAGTGAGGCAACAGGTCTCCTAACAAACTTTCAGGACTCCACAGTAGTCCCAATACGGTGCTCCATTGCTGACCTCCCAGCAACATGAGTGCACTTCTGATCAAGTACCTGGGCTTACCTCTCACCACTACACGATTACGGCGTGTGGACCTTCAATTCCTTGTCGATAAGGCAGTTAGCAAATTTATCTCTTGGAATGGAAAAACACAACTCCAGCAGGTTGACTCACGCTGATCAAATTGGTGCTCATGTCACAACCGGTTTACCTGCTCACAGCCCTGCAGGCACCCAAGGAGGTGCTAGATGAAATTGACAATAAGAGGAAACAATTTATGTGGGCCGGTTCTAAAGCTTTGACCGGTGGAAAATGCAAAGTTAATTGGACCCGTGCAAGAAGGCCAACGTGTTCTGGAGGCCTGGGGATCCTACACTTGGAAAGGTTCACTACGGTGCATAGGCTTCGATGGCTGTGGCATGAATGGAAGTCAAGCGATAAGCCCTGGGTGGGAGTCAGAAATCCCCTACAACAGAACTGAGCGCCTCTTGTTTGCAGCTGCAACAAAGATTACCATTGGGGATGGCAAGAAAACTTCCATTTGGTATGGGGCCTGGAGTCAAGGACAGAGGCTAAAAGATATTGCGCCAAACCTCTTCAAAATTTCTAAAAGAAAAAATAGATCCCTTTATGTTGCCACTCAAAATCAAAACTGGATCAAGGATCTTAACTTGCAGCACCGTAGCTTCAATGCACAACACTTTATCGAGTACGTGGCAATATGGCGTGTGGCAATATTGCAGCACCGCTGATGGTGAATATTCTGCAAACTCAACTTACAGAGCCCAATTCTTAGGGTCAACAACAACCAATTTTGGCACACTCATTTGGAAGGTTTGGGAACCACCTAAATTCAAATTATTTGGATGGCTCGCCATCCAAAATAGACTTTGGACGGCAAATAGGCTCCAGGCGAGAGGTTGGCCCAACAACGTTATTTGCCCCCTCTGTCCTAGAGAGCCAGAAACTGTCCTCCATCTTCTCGCTCATTGCAGATACTCCATGCGTATTCGGGAGGAACTTGCTACTTCGATAGGACTCAGTGGCCTCTTTTTGCCTTCCTGGTCGTCAATGGTGGACCTCCCTATCAGCCGTACCTTGCCACTCCAGGAAAGGAATGCGTTCTATGATCATCTTAGTTCCATGGGAAATTTGGAATGAAAGAAATGCACGAATATTCAATCACAAAGAGTTACCTCATAATCAGCTACTTCAGAAAATAAAAGATGAAAGCGGGATGTGGATTATGGCTGGAGGGAAACATCTAGCAATTTTGATAGGCAGACACTGAGAGTTTTTCTTTTACACTCCTTCATATATTTTTTTGTACAATCTTGTTCTAGCCTGCCTTGGCTCACCTTCTTTTTAATACATCAGGCAGTCCTTATGCCTTGTTCGTTTTAAAGAAAGAGCTATATATGGACTGCACCATGGGAGTGAACAATGTGGCTTGGCATCTCACATCTCAAACTTGATAAAAATATCCTTCAAAGAAAAACACTTGATCTCTCAGGGACAAACGGCACCATCCTTGGATTGCTTGACATTAGAGTTACAAACCTGAAGAGGTCACCGATGCTACCCTGCTGAGACCGATCGCAGGTTCAGATTCGCCGGCCAGCAGGATTGACCGAGCCCAGGGTAAGATTGCCCCTCCCCGTGACAACTGATAAGCTTAGCATCCGACTACCCGAGGGCTAAGGCTACACGCCGTCCGCTGTGGATGGCGATGAGCTGCGAATGAAGAGATATGTAGCGGTAGCAGTTTTTTTTGAAACTTCAAGCGCCCGCTCATTCGTTGTTCATACGGGGTTTAGCAAAATCACGAACCACAAGATTGTTTACAAAGTCTAGGAGGGGGTCGCTCCATATCACAGACTGGCACGGCACACGGGTCCCAACTCACACTAGAGCGAGCTAAATCGTGAGCATACGAGTTACAAAAGCGATTAGAATGGACGATCACGACCTCAATGAAGGACGAAGCAATCACCCGGAGCTTGATCATAGTTACTGCTGGTTCAGAGAGCTCTTACCAGAGATAGGGAATCCGTCTCTAGGATGATCCGTGATAAACCATATTGTATGGCTGCTTGTAAGGCTGCAATGCAGGCCTCTGATTCCGCACATAAGGCATCATGCACCGTGTACAGATTAAATTTCGCAGACGAAGATTGTCGCCAGAGGCCCATACTTTCTGCTTCTGGGCAAACACAGCTCTATGGGCCGAAGCAACTACAAAGAGTACATGTCCCGCCCTGTTTCCTCGTAGGCCTGTAAAATGATGGAAAATGGACGGGTCGATGGGCACCGCGAAAGCAGGCCCATTGGTTCATGTCACCTCACTATTCTTAACAGTGTATATACGAGTAAAATGTATAGGGCGATTTTGGACGAAGTTGACACCGAAGATGGGACAGACAAGCTTAATATATATAGAATAAACCTCATTTAACGTGAATTCGGACTAAATAAAACAGAATAAGGTAAAAAGTACTTTCTCCACTTCAACATATAGGTTGTATTAGTTAGGATTAAAAGAGGTGAAAGTTTCAAACATTTTTAACTAAAACCATTACTCAAATTTGATATAAATTTCATAAACTGATTATATCCTGCAACAGAGTGTACTTCAAAGATTTTTCCAAATGTTAATGTGCCTTGTAAAAATAAATGGAGGACACGGAATACAATGACAATAATACATTGCAAATGGCTAATATGTCATGGAATCCCCTAACGCCAAAGTCGCGTATTTAGATTCAAAATAAGATTTCTATTTTACTCGCGTATATGTGAGCATTATGTATGTATTGTGATTCACAATTAATATAAGAGAAAAGTAGATTTTTTCTGTTCCTTTAGGTCCTGTTTGGCAATAAGGTATTTTTTCTCAGGTGCAAACCATTTTCGCTTGTAATTTGTTGTGCACAAGAATACTACTGTTTTATTTTACACTTGGAAACTGCTCTATGGATAAAAGGCTTCCGCCTGCATCTGTTAGGCAGTGCTCGCTCTCCTGCCGATGCTCCCATGTGTTTTTCTCTGCTATGCGATGCATGTGTTGTGCTTGTATCTACATA